CTCCCTTTATTTGTGTTATCGTTCGAACTCAAATGTTTTTTTCTCCCCACCCCCCTCCTCCTCCAAACATTGCCAATCTGAACTCCTTTTACCTTCGCGCCATGTTGTTTCGCTACGAAGACCTAAATTTCCATCACGTTTTCCTCTATCCCGACTTATTGTGTCATATTCTGCTTACAAAACGCCAGTTGTTTGTCCCGATTTTACTTTTGTTGCGCCTGAGGGTGGAGAGGGTGCCGGGGGGGGGGTTGAGGAGATTCTGGCGTGCTATGATATGGGGTGCGGGTAATTTATTCCGAAAGAATCCATACTTCACTTACTTTAACTAATTGGGAAGAGGCTTAAGCCTCCTTTTTTTCGATACTTTTATGTCATTGATAGGTGGGGAGGAGGGAGGGGAGATGAACGCAAGTGCGATTACCAAGAGATTCATTCTGAATTTAAGTGAATCGGAACAATCATCTCTGGGGTAAATTAGATGTCTTTAAACTAACGATCGAACCCATCCTTTCCTAGTTATTGCCCCTGGATTCCAAAATTGGAAGCGGTAGGGGGACTTAATGCGACCAGCTGCCAACAGCTAGCAGGGAGGTCATTCACAGGATATAATCAACGCCACGTTGGATAAGATTGATTTATATCAAATGGCAGGCGTTTTGTTAGTTATCATAAGCTCTTTAGTTGGCTTCGGGCTTCGCAGAGGTGAATGAGCATCAAAGTGAAAAAAGTCGAGTATATTCATATGGCAAAAATGTCTATCAATCGGTAATTGACTTCTGACTTCAAACTACCATCACGTTGGATAAGATTATTGCTTCAACACCTATCGTGAATAAGCTTTGAGACCAATGGGCAGTTTCTTTAATTAATGTGTCTTAGCAGAGAAGTAAGCCAAACAAGGCATTTTCATAATTATAAGTGCATCGTATGAAGCTAAATTAATGAATATTGAAAAGTTATTACTTCAAAATTTGTACGCAGTAAATGAAATGGTCTTCGCAAGAAAACTGATCTGTTTGACGCTGCATGTCTGTCAAATTATATTCTCCCGTTTAGAAAATCCATTTACTTTCTCAAAAAATGCTGTTCTTATATACAAATTATTTTATGATATGTCAAAGACGGAATGTTGGTACTTTTGTAAGTTAGCCGAGAAATAATCTCGAAATTTCCAAAATAAAGCGACCTCTCTGCGGTAATTCCATGCGACAACAGTGTGGCGAAAGTTGTAGTTTTAGCATATTTTAAATTTCAAGGTCTGACGAACATAATTCACAAGCTTCCTTTAAAACTTTCTCCGTCTCATGAGCCTCTTTTGACAATACGGTCGGACCATGGTGCTCATTGATGAGTTTCGATATGTGAAGACAGACAAATTCCATTTACTAATTAATTGATTATCACTTACGTAAAGCAATTTTGTTAACGCTGGGTTCAGTATTTCAAGTTTGGTTTAAAACGTCTGTAAATTAGTCGAGATGTGCGGAGACAAAAAAAACTAACATGGCTGAACCATGAAATTTCGTTCGAATTCGAGTAGTTTCGTGGTTGGGCCTTCCCATGGATTGTGCTCGGAGGTGGGGGGGACGATGTCGCGTGTATATTGATCGTCCTGTCAACAGCTGTCAATAGTGTTGAGGTAGCATAGCCAAATAGGCAACGATTACATAGAAGGGAATTCGCACGTAGACATTTCTGAAGCTTTATTACATGTGGTACGAGCGTGAGATAAAACATGTAACTAAATTTAAAATTTTAAAATTACATTTTAATGCTGAAAATATGCTCGAAATCCCTGACTAAATTAAAATTAATCATTTTGGGAAGAAAGGTAGTGTTTTTGCAAAATAAGTTACTGCATTTTTGTAAATGCGGGGTCAAAGAAGGAGATTTGAATGTCAAAAATGAACGAAAAGTGATGTCGAGAGAAAAATTCAGGAAGTGACTAATTGTAATTAAATATTTTTTGTACTACCGAACTTGCAGTTATGAATTAAAAAAAAACTATTTAACTTCTTGATTTTGAACAGGGCATAGGCATTCAAAGTTATTTGCCATTTCTTATCTACTACAATCTCTGGAGAGAGTCTAGTGTTACGCAATAAAAGAAAGAAAGAGCTTTCACATGTTCGCTTTGTATTAAAATTTTGATTCCATCAATGACAATTGAGTAAATATCTGCGCATAATAGATGTGCTCCATGATAAAAGGGGGTCTAGTTAGGAGCAAGTATCGAAAGTGTTCAGAGTGAATCTGATACACAACTCAGCATGTCATGAGATAAGCAACTCTAGCATGACTAAAGCAGAGCCCTCTCGACCAATCAATGACAAAAGTCAGGACGACCAATCAACGGGCAAAGTCATAACATGGTTATATAGTGTTTATTATAATTGAGTTATATATGACTAAACACATACTAAATAAACGTGTTTTACGGCATATGTCTGTTTCCTCTTTACTTTTGAGGTAGCGTCATTTGATCAAAACAAATCCGGTAATCGAATTCAATGTTCACTCTGCCTGAAACCGATGGGGCTTAAACAGGCTAGCTTACTCATAAATCATTTAATTAAGAAAAGTGCAAAAATATTCGCATTAAGGTTATTAGTGATGGGGTTATGGCTAAGGTAGTGAAAGCAACTAGTCCTTACGAGCGGAGCAATTAATACTAAGGCATTGACTAAACCTCAATAACCCCCCCCCCCCCCCCCCCCCCTACTAGGTAACTACTTCCAAACTTAGCTAAGATACCTCAAAACTATTAAAGAAACTGAGGATTTATTGTGGTGTTGTGTTACTGAAACAGAGTTTAGTTATTATAATATTATTTTTACTACTTTGGCAGTGCAGTTACTTCGCAGTGAGATCTCTACACGCACAACGCACCTGCATTCAGAAGTACGGCCGGATGTTCCAAACTGTTTGAGCACGCATGAGGTTCTCTTGTTAATCATTTCAACGTTGTGATCTAAATAAATATTTAAAATACAAAATTCTGAAAACCAATTATTTGCCATTGATAATAAGCTGTACAAATTCTTTATATGTAAACGAGAGGGTGATGTAGTATTCTTATAGAACTTATTTGAAAGTCTAGCGGTTTCAGTGACTCATAGACTCATTAATAAGGTATTAATTACATGCCAAACACAAACTGCAATAATACTTTTTACCCAAAACAAAGAATTATTAGGAAGTAAACGCATTAAACGTGATTGAATGTTTAAGCAGTAATAAAATGCTTAGTCGTTAAAGTAAAACAAGTTCTTAGATAACGATTCAAAGACTATTGATTATTTGATGGACGACCTGACGACAATACATGCACCCCACGCAATCAGTAACATCACACCTTCCAGACTGTTCGAGTGCGCACGAAATTTCTCTGTTTAGCCTTTAGAACGTTGTGCACTCTACACGGTGATTAATGCGCTGCGGCTTAAAATGTTAATGTCATGTAATTGACCAAATATAGTAAATCAAAGTTAATGTTCCATAAATGTTCAGTAAATGAACTGAAGATAAATTTAAATCCGAATTTAATTTTCAAAAGTTAATCAAGACCTTTAATCTAACTTAATGTAATAATCTCTAAGGGATAACGAGCCTTATCTGTGACTTTCCTTCGAGAGCTATTACCAAGCACTGTCGATTAAAATAATTTCAGTATTAGAAACCGGAACTGCCTGTTCACTAGACAGCTCCAAAAGGCCTAAAGTGGCAAAGAAGAAGAGTAATAATCGATTTGTCGACAACCCCTATAGACACAAACCGCCTAACTAAGCCACATTTTACCAACAAGTTGCTTCTTTACCATATTGCGTTAATACGCAAAATACCTTACCGTAAAAAATGATTAAATTAATTTTTTAAAATTACATCATTAAGAATTATAAATAAGCGTTTACGCTATTTAAAATTCATTTATATGTTCGTTTAAACGCTTTGAATAAACCGCGTTTATATAATTTTTTCGATTTCACCTGATAATGTTCTAATTGGTTAATAAAAAATTATGAATATTTTCATAGACAAAAGTTTATCTGATTGTATAGAAAAAGGTTTATGGAATGAACTGCAAGAAAAGATTCCAAGTTTAGATAATCTTGATACCCTATGCTATATATCTCACATCGCTCTATCATTAAAGAAATATGACTTTCTCTCATCAGCAATATCAAGAGAAGGTTGATTTTGTACTATAAAAATTATTTCCTAGGATTTCCCTTTTATCAAAAGATTAATTATGAAGGGTTATTTTTGGTATGTTAATCAAATTCATGCTTTAATTGTCCAAAATTGAAATGTAGCCCATTTTACTCCGTGCGGTTCACCTTCGAGATCTGCGTGCCTGTGATATTCTACTTTCTTCGGGCGCTTTAGCACTGTGTTGTGCGCAGAAATGTTCAACCAACTGTTCCGATATTTTGGATATTCTCTTTGAACCAGCGGGAGATAGTGATCTTTCAATTTCTGATGTCTCCTGTCTGCTCATATCATACTGGAGTGAGTTTACTTTATGTCCATGTTTACTTTACCCATTTTATTGTCTTTTACGGCTATTTTTGTTTTTGTTTTAGCAAAGTTCTTGCAGAGTAAGTAGTCGCTATTTTACTCTACTTCGACCTAGAAATATTTGCTGCATCTAAATCCAATAATGCTGGTGCTGTCGGCAGTCTTCTTGAGGAATTCAAAGCGAAATGCTGTACATTTCGCAGATATACTGATCTCTGCATTTACTTTGATCCCATGGTATATGAAGATCTTCGAGAATTCACTCTTCTCTGTATGGATCCACATTTGGTTCCATTCCGTCAAAATCGGATTCCATCGGATGTTACACCATCCTCGGCAAAATCTTTCTTCAATATGGTTGCTGAAGGAGCCGGTAAGGCTTTTAGCGCCTTCTTGTCTGTTGGTGAACAAATTGTGGGAGGTGGAATCGGTGATAGAAATTGTATGGAAACAGATTTGCTGGCCAGGCGTATACGAAATGTCATGACGCAGTTAACCCAACAGTACCTCAACGCGATGCTTATTTCGTACGTCTTTGCTACTTTAATATTGATTTAAGTATTTCCATGAATTCTTATACGAGGAAACTTTGTCCTATTGTAATATTCATTTTTCCTGATTAGTATAATTGTAATTCTGGAATATTTGAGCCATAGTTTCGATTGTGAGTGAAATGATACCATTTTCATTTGGAAAGACCTGTACAATTGTAACTGTAGTGTGATTGTTCATGCTCATTCAGATGGTCTATTGGGGGGTAGTTTGTGTCATTATTTTCTTGCTACAAATCGTTTGGCCTACTGTCTATTTATTCAATTCATTCAATTTGTTTTCCTTTCCATTTTTACTTATTTTTGTTCTTTGCGTAATCAAAATAGGAACCAGTGCATTCAGTCAGTGATCCTAGCTGCTATTTAAAATCCTCGCTTAATTATATTATTATCGTTTGACAAATTATTGAACTATTAATTCCGTTTTTGAATCTAAGCTGTTTAATGCATATAAATATGTGGTATCTTTCATCGATGTTGACACGGTTTGCATTAAGTTAGATGATTAAAATTGCCTCACCATTTGTTTCCCATTTTGCATCTTATAATTGTTGTCTTAAATCCTCCTTTCACCTGATTTTTTGGCTCTGATAATGGTATTACCCATGAGACTGATAGGTGTTTTAACAAAAAAACAGTGAAGCCTTCCAACGGGGCCTATAGAGATGCCCGTCAATTGCATCGATCACAATTATACTTGAAATTCAAGTTCACCATTTGCCCCCCCCCCCCCCCCAATTATCGTGTGAGTTGAAGATTTGGACGGATGGTCTCTAGTCGTTTATGTTTTTTTAGCTTTTTTTTAAATTGATACATTCAACTACTTATTGACTAATATCCGCGGTCAATTCGTAATAATGATTTCTTGAAGAAATAAATGGACTTTTGTTTGTGATATATGTTCCTCTTCTGTTATTTTCGATCTTTCATCAATCCAAACACCTCTGTTATGGCTACATTAATGCTTCCGGAAAAGCATACAATTATATGATTTACCATGTTATGCAGTAGGCATTCGGATGTATTGACATTTTTAGCTAGACCTGTCACTTTTATGGACTCCTAATTCAATATTCTTCTATATTTTGTCGAATGGTCGATAGTGGTTGCTGCTTTTTTGTGATTGAGAGTTCACCATAGATGTCCTAATGTCCATTTTAATGAAAGTTATTAGTTTCTATCCAGGGCACTCTTTAGCTAAATATGTAATACGTCTATCAACAAATATGCGTAAAACTCCGAAATCAGAGGTTGATAGATAAGTCATTTGGAAAACCATTTCGATTGATCAAATTTTTAGCTAAAACTTGCCTTTTGTTTTTCAGTTAATTTGTTACAAAGAACCAATTAAAGTTTATGTTTAGGGTCTAATTTGGACAGTGATATTAGATTAATAGGAATGGTATTTATTTATTCCAAATGGTAGGCGTTTTGATAGATATCATTAGCCATTTAGCTGACTTCAGGCTTCACAGAGGGAAGGTTCATCAAAGTGGCAGAAAGTCGAGGGGTGGGGAACGGAAGAGCGATTCACAGATGTAAACGAGGCAGACAAACACAAAGGTAGAGAAAAAGGTAAGGTGAGTACTGTGAAAGGGGTCGAATATGACAACCAGGGGGGTCGTGGTAGTTTGAAGTCAGAAGTTAAATGCCGGTTAATAGACTTTTTTGCCGTATGAGTATACGTTGCCCAGGGTGCACCACGTATAGGTAAGTCTATCGCACACCCCATTAATGGGATTGGTAAATGTCTACATAACCTTGCAAGTGGTATTGTTTATTGGATGTCTTTTCTTTTCAAGTGCCATTGAAAGAGCTGACCTCCCAATCATCCATATACTTCTGGATTTCGGCTTCAGACTTCAGGGAGTCCCACGGCCTTCCATGTGCTTTCCAAATGCGGTGGATATTTCAACTGTTGTCAAGAGAGAAAATAGTTTAGAAACTCGAAGAAATCCATTAGAATGGCGTCTGGAAACTCCAGGAGGTCCTGATTGGTTGTTGACTGCCTTGCAGACCGCCGAAGATACGCCTATTTTGGCCGCAATTCGCAAGAACCTTCTTCAGGAGGATGTCTTTGATCAACTCCTCAAAGTGAGTATACAGCCATCATAATATTTATTCAATAATATATCTTTAGTCATTTTCTCAGAACTCAACTCCACAACTTCATCACTTCCATTGAAATTTCCTGAGTGCGAAGTTCTACTAATGATGAGAACCCCTTAGTGAAATGAGTAGTCGATGCGTCTATGCTTAAATCGATGAATTTTCTATAATTGTGTTTATACATACCAAATATCAGCATATTTTTCAATTAGCGAATCGTTTCGATGCCTTCTTCATAAAAGTTTCAAGTTGTTATGAGAAGTAGGATGGGTGTTTGTTACCCAGTAGATTCAGCCCTCCACGTGGACTTTGCAAGAAAGGATCTACTTAATCCTATTATCACTAGTTATCAGATAATCACATATCGGAAATAATCCATTGAGTGAAAAGTTGGGCATCAATGAATAAAACTGGCGCCTGAAAGTCATCATTAGAGGGGAAAAGGGAGGTGGCGGAATGCGAGTTTCCGAACACAATGACCTCTTTTGGAGAAAGCGTACATCGGCAAGTTCCAGCACTATTTGAGAGAATGGCAAACTTGTGCAAATAGGATTTTTTGCCTTGTCTTGACCTGCTTGCGTTGACCTGTCATAATCTGATTTACCTGTGCTACATTTCGCTCAGTCCTGTTCCACTTGAGAGAGATTGTGTGCGCGTGTGTGCTAGTCACATTTTTCTCAAATTCACCACTTGAGTATCTTCCTAGTTAATTTTACATATTTGAGCTGGCTTATGTGTTGAACGGGGCGCGAATATTATGAACCAGGCTTACAACCCTTTGCCAGCTAATTCGGGGCTTGTGTTTTTGTTAACTCTTCCTAGCGAACCGTTCCCTGCAGGTGGTTTATCTACTTTTTTCAGCCTGCCAGATATATTTTTCTCTCTGTGGTTGTAGAAGACACAACTTGAACTTTTTCATTTAGTAATGTTCATTGAAACTCCTTTTAATTGTCTGCCCATAATTGAGTCTAATTGAGTAAAGTAAAGTGGGGGGGGGGCTTTCTTGGTTGGCCAGTTTCACGCTCTTTTAACAGCATCTACTAGACAAGGGGGCCGGCTGGAGGGAGATCTTGGGCACGCTGAATTCATCTCCAATTTCAAGTGGTGTGACTGACTGGATTAAGCCTATTCTCTCATGTATACGCTCTATCGAGTTCTCCAAGTACCACTGTCCTTATATTTACCATGGTGTTTACTTCTCAGCCATTATTTTCTAAACATAGTTAAGCTTCTCCATTTAGTGGAAATTAATGCCTATTTCCATTTGGTAAAAAGTAAAATTAGTAACTCATTAGAGCAAACTCTTTTTAGAATTGCAGTCATGTGTTAATCCTTTAAAGCCCTGGTAGACCGTACGCGGTCCTCTTTCAAAATATGCTCCACAGGTACTAGACTCGTAATAGAAGGCGCGCTATTGCCTTTTGAAACATGTCCAAAGCGTCTATGATCTTCGCCTGATATCCCACCAAAACTCATCTTGTCGACGTCATCAGGCTGCTGCTGTGGGACGCGCGTGAGTGCGGTTGGGTACATTTTTCAAAGAATAATTTGGGTTAAATCAGGCTGTCTGCACTATTAAAGTAGCACTTATCAATTTACCCTTGACATTGATTGATTGGTCAGCGGTACAGTTCAAGATCACAAATTTGGGCGGTTTGTTTTGTTTTGTTTTGTTTTTTTTTGACTGCTAATACTTGTGTGTGTGTATTGTCTTGCAACTCTCTAGGAGGGAGGGCACTTGTTGCTGCTTCCTGGAGCGGGAGGCATCCTGCCGATTCATCTAATGGCTGCCTTGGGGCGAATTGAAATGCTCTCCGCGGTGCTCCACTTAAATGATCCAAGGTAGAATTTTCCGTTGTATTCTCTCTCTCTCTCTCTCGCAAACACACTCACTCATACCCACCCACTTATCTTAACACACTTTTTTAACTCCATTTTCTACTCGAACACACCCGAGGTGTGTAATTGAAGTACTAATTGATTGATTTTACAGACTAACGGTAGTATATAAACACTATAACTTGTAAAATATGGGCTTTAAATATTGTACTGTTTGGATTAATTTCACCCCTCTTATCTATTCATTTATTTATTTAAAATAATCTGTTATTGTTTGGATTGCGCAAGACCATACCTTGCCCGCTCTGCAATTCCTTTTTTTTCATTGGCAAAATTGGCTCCATCCTCGAGATCTAATTAAAAACCTTGCAATCTTATATAGCTTCCTTTAAGCCACCAGATATCAAGGGCGCTTTGGGAGATTGGTATTAAAAAGATAATGACAAAGACAAATCTATTGAAAGTGAGGAAAGGTTCTTCATGCGGATGGGGTCTATCATAGCTCAATTACTACACACTAATTCAATTCCGATTGCTCTAGCTGTGAAGTTCCCAGTCAAGAGAAATCTTTCAAGAATTAATGAAATAGTAAGTTGCTTATTGGGTGCTGCGGTATCACTGCTCAAATAGAAGCTTCGAGTTTCTCATTTTTGGACGCTTCGAATCGTACAAAAGTCCATGATTATTAGAATGTCTCTTATCGAAATATAATTCCACTTATTGATAGTAAGTTCTTTTGAGAAGTGAGCACTAGCACAATCACCAACCACCCCTATAGGGCTAAAATATGTATTTATTTCAAATGGCAGGCGTTTTGATGGTTATCATTAGCCCTTTAGTTGACTTCGGGCTTCAAAGAGAGGAGGAGGAACATCTAAGTGAGATAAATTCAAGAGGTTGAAGAGAAGGGTGCTTCACAGATGCAAAAGAGACAGACAGACACAAAGGCAGAGAAAAGGTAGGATGAGTACTGTGAAAGTGGACTATGGCAGAAAGGGGGTCATGGTTGTTTAAAGTCAGAAGTCAACTGTCAGTTTATAGACTTTTGACCTATGAGTATACGTTGCCCAGGGTACACCACGTGGAGGTAAGTCTATCGCACACCCCCTCTATTAAAGTATTCATAATCATATTAACAGCGCATTTCTTTGTCTTAATTGGTTCTGACATTAGCATTTTTATATCAAGTGAAACCATCTTCTTAATTAAGGTGAATGCTTCCATTATAAGCGAGGGCGGTGGCTATTACAGCAATCTGTCGTTGATAACTTCTCCATGATAATTCTGCGTCTTACTGTGTAGATGTCTGCTAGCGAGGAGCAGCAGGAATAAAAAAACTTACCCTCGGGATGGAGACGCAAGAGGGGGGGGGGTGGTGGGTTGATGAGAGGGGGGGGGGCGAAGGCCTAGAGAGGAACAGCAACCTGTAACGCTCTGGTGTAATTTAAAATGTCCACAAATGCCACATAATGTGGAAGCGCAAACCTTATCGAACTCTTTGTGGCGCATGCTTCCCCGTTACTGCCTTTTGCATTATTAATGCAGTTACTTGCTGTTAATGTGTACTCATAACTCTTAAAATTATGTTCTCTCAAAGATAAGCAGCGATATGGACAGTTGGTCTACCAGTTTCCAATGGGAACTCCTACAGACGTATGCATTTGGTCTGTCATTTAACTCTTAACAGTTCCATTAGATGAGAGTTTATTTTGATCCATCAGTTACCAAGAGAAAGTAGAAAGGAAGCCTCCGCCATTAAAATGCCGATAGGAGAAAGTCTGGCTAAGATTCTACGGTTAATGTACTTTGATCTTTGGGAGTTCAATATAACCGCATCGTCCCGGTATGCGTTTTTTATTAATGGTTAGGTGAGTGTAAAAAGACTTTTGGCTGAATTTTTAGTTGTTTTCAAATAATTTTATTGAAAACAGAGCTGTTAAAACCGTAGAAGGTCTGTATAATTTCTAAGGAAATGCAAAAGTCAGGCAACCTCAAAATTGTTGGCTGGAGATAGAAAAAAATAAAAATGATTATTAGGATAAAAATAGTTCTTAGAATTTCCAATTGTCATTATTGGTGGTCAAAGAAAAGCAAATACCGTGACATGTTAATTCTAAATGTAAATATTTATTTATTTATATCAAATGGCAGGGATTTGATAGTTATCATTAGACCTTTAGTTGACTTCGGGCTTCACAGAAGGGAGGAACATTAAAGTGAGAAAAATTCGACAGGGGAAAAGAAGAGCGATTCACAGATGTAAAAGACAGACAGACACAAAGGCAGAGAAAAGGCTAGATGAGTACTGTGGAAGGGCTCGAATATGACATAGAGTGGGGTCATGGTAGTTTGAAGTCAGAGGTCAACTGCCAGTTAATAGACGTTTTTGCCGTATGAGTATACGTTGCCCAGGGTGCTCCACGTGGAGGTAAGTCTATCGCACACCCTTCTAAATGTAAATATAAGAGCCCAGAAGACAGTTCAAATGAATGATGATTGGAAATATTGCAGTAAATAAAAATAAATATTTGCCACTCTTCTTACAGCTGATGGCTTTGGGTTTATCAATCTGAATATGCTGAGTG